CGGAAGCACCTGAGATTAGGCATAGTTCTGATCATCTTGATCACTTGTCTTAGCATCCCAAGAATGAACTTTAGAGGAGTCTGCAAGGACTTATAGACTATTGAAGACATTTGCCATGACCCAGTGATTGACAAATGCCTGACGACCAAAAATTGCCTTCCCCATACAGCTCACATGGGCGAAGCGCGCATAGGCGAAGTGTGGGAGCACATGATTGGTGCACCCCGCGAAATCATGGACTCTATGTCGTTAAAGACACCCACACCCACACATGAAGTCCTCACTACCCTGATGACAACAGTAGCAGCCATCTTCAATGCTCCATCAGTGGTTCCAGATACCTCGGTTCCTGAGTATCCTGAGTCTTCTGCAGCTGCTGTTGCTCCTGATCCTTCAGTTCCAGCTGTTGTTCCTGATCCTTCAGTTCCAGCTGTTGTTCCTGATCCTGCAATTCCAGCCGTTCCTGAGTATCCAGCCGTTCCTGTGTTTCCAGTTCCAGCTGTTCCTGTGTTTCCAGACCCAGCTGTTCCTGAGTTTCCAGATGTTCCTGAGCATCCAGCTGTTCCTGTGTTTCCAGATCCAGCTGTTCCTGTTTTTCCAGGTTCTTCAGTTCCTGAGTATCCTGTGAATCCAGTTCCCTTTGTTCCTGAGAAGCTTTGGGTTCCAGTTTTTCTGTTCCAGATTTGGTTCCAGTTTCCTTTACAGGAAGAAGACCTTGTCTCACTTGGAGGCAAGAACGCGTACCAGAACTATTGGCCCAAGGGACTTGCACACCGGGCCCACCCAGCTGACGAACTACTCTGCCAAGCTGACTTTCAGATCGTGAAGCCACGTGAGTCAGGTCGTGACTCAAAGACACTTGTACCAGGCTGATCTCCGATTTGGCACCGTAGCTGATGAAGACTGAACCAGAAGATGAAACCTCAAATGATGTATTGTGTTTATGCATTGTTTGATGTAACACTTGCTTATTTTTTGCATAATTGTGCATGCTTTATCTTTACCAATTGTTATGCATGTTTGATACCGAGTACTGTATACTTTAATGCTATATCTTTAGGTTTTTTTTCATATTCAGTTAGTAAGTAGTGGAAATATTAATTTCCAAGCGGGGAGTGTTCTGGATCATAGATCCATTTAACCTTGTATAACTCTATGTTTACTATAACTCTATGTATCCCTATGTAACAGGTCAAGGGGAGGGGTTAGGGTCAGGGGCGGAGCTTCAGAAAGGCATCCCTGGACACTAGCCTGGGATCAGCCCTTTGTTCTTTGACCATCTCATGCAGCCACACGGCTGCAGACACCACAATCACCCCACCATGTGACGCTTGGGAGAAGAGGGGAAAATCTAATGTCAATTTACCTGTGGGACAAACAGATTGCTGAGACCTATTTTGGAAGCACCTCTACTAACTGTAAGTTTGTCTAGGATTCCCAGAATAAAGCAATTATTTCGTTTGTTCTTCTGAGTTATCTATCTGTTAAAGACTGGAATAGAAGCAAGTTTCCTGTCCAAAAACAGAATATGTTATCTTTACTGAAGCGTGCAAACCAGCGTTTGCATTTCTTGAATCGGATGAGGAAAGCACATATTTCTCTTTCTGTCCTGGCCACTTTTTACAGAGGCACGACTCAGAGCGTTTTAACAAATTGCATCACTATTTGGTTTGGTGGTAGCAGTGCCTCAGATAGAAGGTCCATACAGAGAGTGGTAAGGACAGCTGAGAAGATTATAGAAAGGTCGCTTTCTGTTATTCAGGATACTGCTTATAAGCGCTATGTGTTTAGAGTTCGAAGCATTGTTAGAGACGCCATACACTCACTTCACGGTCTATTTCTGTTGCTCCCCTCTGGGAGGAGGTTTCGAAATATAGCAGAACTACTAGATTCTGTAACAGCTTTGTTCCTTGTGCCATCCATCTTGTAAATACGCAGGATTCTTTCTTTTTTTCGTTGTATGTATACATTCGAACTAGACTGATATTTCTCTGTGTTATATATGTGTGTGTATGTGGTATATGCATAATGGTATTTTTTTAAGAGCTGAATGCAATGAAATTTCATTTTAATGTATGCTGATTAGTGTACATTTAAAGTGACAATAAACTATTCTATTTCTATTCTATTCTCTGAAAATGAAGAGATATTCCCTGAGCATGTTTCTGCCAATCAAGTTGCAATCCTGTTGTTACATCCTGACTTTCAAGTTTCTGAAACCAAAATAGGAGCTGTGTAGCTTTTTCTGGTTTTTTGTGACAATGTGCCTTCTTAATTTAGAACTGGTACCTAAAGAATTTTTTTAAAGCTGTTACCAGAATTTCTCAATCTAAGGCAGTTTGCTTAACTGTGGTTCAGATTAATGACAGTCTTGGAAAGGGTAGTTTATGGCCTGTAAAGCACTTTCAACTTTCAGGTTTTCAACTCTGTGCCTGGTAGCAGAAAATTCTTTCTTTCAGCCAGCTCCCAGAGACGAGAAGGAGCAGAAATTCAAGCAAGACTTCAAATGCCTGCTAGGATTTTCAGTTTGCTTGGGTGCATGCCACCAAGTAAAATGTCAAAATTTGCACTGATTGCCACTAAAATCCATAAAAATTTGAAATCACTAAATTTTTCCAAGCAGCTTTAAGCTAGGTTTCTTCATAGCTCCCATTTATTTATTTAGTGTCCTGCATTTTGTTTGAGGCAGCTAACAGCATTTTTTAACGAAACTGAAGAGTTAAAGCGTAGTTTTCGATTTTAGTTTAGTGATTAAGAACCTCGCAAGAAGTGTCCCTACAAATCCTCTTAATACTGTATTAGAGGTAGGCAACTTTGTAGTATTTTATGAGCACAAGAAGGTGCTTTATATTAATGTTTGATTAATTAGAGCAATATTGTGATAGAAGTAAGAAGTGACAAATTCTTTTTTGCTAACTTATAGGTAAACCTATGAAGTATTTGAAGAGACTTTTTTTTATAGGTAATGTTCAAATGTGTCATGCCTATATACAATCTAAAACAATCTACTCATGTGAACGCATACCCCATGATGTTAATGGGGTAAAGGAGCCAGGGAGAGAATTGTAGTACTTTTACATGTTTATATGTAAAAGGTATATACATTTTCCTTAAGAAACTTAAGAATGAATTATAACTCCACAAGTATTTTTGAAAGCAGAAGTGGAAAGACAAAGTTCTTTAGGAATATTAGACAGACATGAAAAGAGAACTTTTGAAAAGTGACAGAAAATCTAAATTGGGATGTATGTTTATTTCTTACATTTTTATCTAATAACCAATGTGCTCTTGGCATATTGCATAGTTAATATGAGGGCAATTTGGAAATAAACCTCTGTTTGGTTATGAATGACAGACACTCGCAGATACAGAACTTTTATTATACACATTAGAAAACTACAACATTTTTTACATAATAGCCATTCAAATTGAGGCACTTGTCATAACGTCTTACAAGGTTTGAAATTCCTTAGTAGTCACTTGGGGCCAAATCTGGGCTATGGGGGGGGGTGATCAAAAATATCCCAACGGAGCTGCTTCAAAAGGTCTTGGGTGCATTTAGCAGTGTGCAGGCGAGCATTATCATGAACCAACACCACACTGGAAGTCAGCATGCCCTGACGCTTGTTATGGATGGCTTGTCTGAGTTTTCGTAACGTTTCATAGTAGACTTCTGAATTAATGGTCGAACCACGCTTCATGAACTTCACTAGCAGTACTCCTTTGGCATCTTCACATTTGGCGGGATTTTCTATGGCAGGGTTCATTTTCAATTAATCTAGCGGACAAGTCAACTGCAACACAACTTCCTTCCACTCCTCACTGCCTACTGAACTACTGCACATGGCACTATAGGACGGATGTCGCTATCCCACCTATTTCCTGCATGCTCAAATGGAGGTTTATTTCCGAATTGTCCTCTTATATCAAAAAGATTTTAAACAATGTTAAGCAATAAAAAATAATCTGCAATGAATTAGTAATCCAGAAAAATGTAATTTATAATGCTGAATAAGGCACTAATATCAAGTAAAAAAACTATAAAAGCTTGGTATAAGAGTTGTGTCCTGTTTGGCAGTGAAAAAGGTCAAATGCATTTCTCTCTAGAGCAGTGGTTCTCAACCTTTTTAATGCCGCGACCCCAACCGGTCGTAAGTCGAGGACTAAACCAGTCGTAAGTCAAGGACTAAACCGGTCGTAAGTCAAGGACTAAACCGGTCGTAAGTCGAGGACTACCCAACCGGTCGTAAGTCGAGGACTTTCCCTGCCCGGGAGCGCCGCACATCCATGGTTCCGGCCCCTGCGCCGGCTGAGGCATAGCTGGCAAGCGGCAGAGACGGAGCAGGCCAACCACCAGCTGGCCCAGCCCAAGGGAGGTAAGGCACCCGCCGGAAAAGGGGAAAAAAATGGACAAAAAAATGGCGGACAGCCTTGCTTGGCGACCCCCGTGAAATGGTTGATCGACCCCAAATGGGGTCCCGACCCACAGGTTGAGAACCACTGCTCTAGAGAGAGGACAAACTAACATCTGAAGATTTCCTCGAGATACTCTACCTCCTGATTCTTCAGGGTTTTAAAATCAGTACCAAAGAAACCTGTAAATGGAATTTGAAAAAGGATTGATGATCCAGCAGTTTTAATCAAACATTAATATCACGTGATCTTTTTGGATAGTGCTAGTTAGTAATACTGTAGCTGAATTTTTGAGCCATCTTTAGAATTGTCCCATATACTTAAGGCATTTGAAAAACCCTTTTGTATTACTTAATGGTTTGAAGAATACAGTATTTATAGGACTGATTGTAATAGATGTATATGTAACTGTGGGAATTGTAGATAGAGACACTTCGTTGGCTATAGAAAAGGAAAAAATGTTGACTTATATGATGAAGTACTGTCTTTTGCCATTTCTAATATGTTGTTTTATTTTATTGTACTCGGGTATGTAGAATTTAAAATATGTAGTTGATGGTTAAGAACTTATTTTTCTTTTTCCATAGGAGCTTAATATACAAGATCTGCTCCAGCTAATTAGGATCAGTCCAACAAGTGACCTTTATAAAATGCTGGTAAAAGAATACTACTTCAAGAAAATGTATGTATTCAGCTCCTAGTAATGAACATTGTTTTGAATAAATGCATTTCTGTTTACAGATTTCAGATTTAACAAAAACCAGCATGAAAGGTATGACTTTTGATTTACTTGTTTTAAACTGTTTAGTGATATGTACTTGTCATTATAAGCTCCTCAAAGATGTTAAGGAAATGGATGTCATAAAAACTTCCTAACTAAATAAAATGTTAAAAATGCTAACTAGTCCATTACTGAAATCTTATTTCTGCTTACTGTGCAGATTGAACTTAAAAAAACATTATCCCCAACTACAGAAACCCTGTCAGTGCCTGCTTTAAAACAAACCTTATATTTCAGTATAAAATTAAAGCAGAAGGATGATTACCATTCAGTATATTTAAAAACATAAACTGCCATTAGAAAATGAATTTGTAAAATGTCACTTTGTAATGTAGTATAATGTTTTGAGGAAATCAATTGGGCAAAATAGGGATAGGGATAGGTTTGGTAACTGATATGACTGCAATGTTAGAAGATCATATTTTTCTTTTAAATTCCGTAAGCTCTCCTTTGCCTTCTTACTGTTATGGCAGCAGCCCCCAACCTTTTGGTGCTGGGGATCTGTTTGTTGGAGAGTTTTTTCCACAGACGGGAGGGAGTGCTTTCGCGCTTCCTGGATCCCGCCCGTGGACTTCACTTGCTTGCACAGACCAGTTCCTGTTGGGCCACAGACCGGTGCCGATCCACGGCCCAGGGGTAAGGGACCCTATGCTACAGCATAGCATTTTTTTTGACATTCTCCTTATGAGATATAGATTTGTTATTAATTGTACTTCTCCAAGGCTTTCTTATACAGATTTTAACAGAAGTGGTAGAATACAATTTCTGTAAGGAGACCTGTAATGCAGAAACTCAGACAAGTTCAGCACTCTACAAAGAATCTCTTGGTAAGTTTAGTATTATAATTGATTTATCCTCAGGCAACTTGGCAAATTATCTATGTAGCCTCAGTGAATGTGTGTATATTCTTTAACAGGATTTTAAATGAGGGCCAAAACCTCTTAGGCATTTTAATATAAAATGTGTATAGGTACCCCTCAGTCCTCAATTACATTTGCCTTAATTTTGTTAGACATAGATATATTACGGTTTGTAAATAGAGGTTATGTTCCAATAGAAGAGAATATCTATAGCTCAGGATTGAACTATGTAGTCCTTGATGCCCTCTCAACTTGGTTTGCTTGCAGACATTTCATTACCAACCAGGTAGCATAGTGCTAGCGAGTGTGGAGTTTGCTTCATGTTTATATATAGTAGCTTGCAAGTTATTGTATATAAACAGGGAGAAAACTCCACATTCCCCAGCACTAGTCAGGTAATGAAACATCTGCAAGCAAACAACCAAGGACACCACAACCATCTTTTAAGGAACACCAAGGACTGCACAATTATCTTTCATTAATGTTGACACTGGGTGTTTCTTGGCAGATTGTTTTTTATAGGACGAGTAGCAGAATTATTATTCTTGCTCCCCTTGCCATATACAGTATATAGTACTGTAAGATTAAATCATGGCATCTGTTCACATGATCCCCCAAACATTTATTTCTGAAGAATTCCATTGTCAGCTTCTCATTTGCACATTAAACCAGTTTTCTAACTTTGTCTGCATTTTAAGTTCTGTTTTCAACCTCCATTGTACTACATTATATGAATATAATAAGAAATACCAAAATAATTTGGTTTCATATTCTTCTCCATATCTTTTGATATTTTTTACTATTTTTATCCACTTATACCTCAGTAATGGAAAACTTCATATATTTTGTTTTTGTAGCTGAGAAACTTCAACTAATTGATGAACAGTTTGCAGACATGTATCCTCAGCGTCATTTATCTGAGTCTTTTCATGTAAAACTTGCTGAATATAAAAGAGAAATAGAACAGCAGCTGCAGGCAGAAATGTGGCAAAAGGTAACGACAGCTGGAAAGGACAAAAGGGATAGTTAGTTATGTGAAATTGTTGTAATTTGATATATTCATATTCATGCCTATGTTGTTTTATGTTTGTTTCTTTGTTTTTATGATTGTCTTTTTCTTAAGAAAATAAAACCTAAGGAAGAAAAATAAAGGATCAATATTTCTTGAACTTAACATTATTATTGATATTATGGGTAAAAGGAATTTGTCTATTATAAGAGAGAATATTTTCCCCTATTTAGAGTATGTGATGTAAATAATACTTTGCATAATTGTTAAAATAAAAAGCACAGAGAAGCAGCTAATTGGATTATGTTCTATACTATCATCTACAGCTGAGAGGGTCTCAGAAAAGCTACAATTGGATCCAAATATTTTCTTCCCCCACAGGAGACAATTTGACATAGAGATGTAGTGCATCAAGAGGAGGTATTAACAGATTCCTCTGCAATATGTTGATGCTTCTTTTCCTGTTCCCTGCTTGTTGGAAAAGTAAAAATAGGTTCTGAATATATGTATTTTGAAATCAAATTGTATATATTCGTAATAACATGACCCACAAACACTGGTTGCATCTAGTGCAACCCAGTGATGTTCAAATGAACTTCTCTGTTGTTTTTATCCTGTGCTTATCTAAGCAATAGCAACAGTAATAGCACTTAGACTTATATACTGCTCCACAGTGCTTTACAGCTCTCTCTAAGCCAGGCATGTCAAACATGCGGGCCGGATGCAGCCCTTGCAGGCCACGCCCACTCCGTCCCCACAAAAGCAAAGAAAATCATGATACGTCACGATACAGCCCGCAACGCGATTGGGCTTTACACCCCTGCTCTAAGTGGTTTACGGAATCAGCACATTGCCCCCAACAATCTGGGTCCTCATTTTATTGACTTTGGAAGGCTGAATCAACCTTGAGCTGATGAGGATCGAATTCCAGCTATGAGTAGAGTTTGCCTGCAATACTATATTCTAATCACTGTGCCATTCTGTACTCTTCTTTCCTAATACCTGAAATGTTATAGACTGCAGAGATGAGGAAATGCATCCATGCTTAAGAGTAAATAAATCATAAATGCTTTAAGATTCCAACAGTATTCCCTGAATATCTGCATTTTAAGATAAATGGCTTTGTTAATTCTAGGTGAATGCTGCTATTTCAAATTTCCCTCAAAAGTTGAAAATATACCATATGAATAAATGTTAATGTCATTAAGGAATTTAAAGAAATTACGAGCTGAACCAGTACATTTAAAGAAATTACGAGCTGAACCAGTACAGGAAAAGGCTGTTGAATTTCTGGCCAGCATATCTGTTTTCAGTGTTTTCAATTTCTGTTTTATAAATGTTACAGTTACAACACTTCAAGGATGTTGAAATTGCCAAAATCAAAATGGATGAAAGGGCAAAATTCCAGAAAGAACTTTCAGAACTTCAGAAAGAGTTTCAAAGAGATCATCAGGCCAAGTCAGAGGCTCTCATCTCTCGAGAAAGAAATGCTATTGAGCGACTTCATAAACAGCAAGAGGTAATTTTTTAAAAGCTAAACCTACCTAGTTACTAATCCCTTGAAATTTTCTGCAGTGAGAATTTGGTGAATTATCTAATATTAGGAGTTGTTTCAGAAAGTTTCTGAAAATAATTACAAATATTTTGCCTTGATTTGTGATATCATACAGGGTTACTACCGTATATACTCGAGTATAAGCCGAGTTTTTCAGCCCATTTTTGGGGCTGAAAAATGCCCCCCTCGGCTTATACTCGAGTCAGCGGCGGCGGGGGCGG